TGACAGTTATTACAAATATATTGATTAGGATGAACAGAAATACTGGTTTATGATTGTTTATTACATAATGCACCAGATTATTACACAATCACATTTTGTAACAATTGCCGCAAAATGTAATCACGTTATTACTTAATGCATTGAAGACTTTTATTACATTTTGTGGTACATAATGCGGTTTTAGCGCGAGTTTATTACATTTTTGAAGCCTGATTTTATTACTTTATTACATAATGCGCTGTTATTACAAAATGAGGTTTTACATGCCCCTTTTAGGGATTGCACTCCACAATTTGAGAACCATAAAACCACAAAATACAAAACCTAAAAACAATCAAACAACACTTCAGGTCTCACAGAACTCACCGAACAGATTAGATTCAAATCTAATCTGTTCGGTGTTGGTTTKGTTTTGCTGTTGATGTTTCTTGACTCTTGTTTATTCTTCCCTGTAAACATCAGATTTGTTTTCTTATGAATTGTTTCCTTTTTATTGTTCAAGAATTAAACTGATTTTTCTTAGATAAAAAAATATAATAATATTGTTTATTACTTTTTGTGGACAATTTGAAAAAAATAGACTGCTTTTTATGATTGTTTTTATTATAATAATTTGAATCAGATTAAAAAACGTGAGGGTGTCCACGTTGAAGCAACTGGATTTCTTTTGTTTTTGAAGCTGTTTTCTCTTCTCAGGAGCTTTGCTCAGTCTGAAAACCTTTTGTCTCACATGACGGTGCAGTGGTGCTGACATGTTGGAGTCTCTTTGATCAGCTGTTTGTGTTCTTCTTGACTGATCTGGACTGAAATGAACTATAAACTGAGTCCAAACAGGAAGGAAATCACCAGAAGAACCACACAGAGGAAAGGCGTCCTCACCACTTCTTGTTTTTCACGTTTTAAATCCATTTTGTCCACAACAAGAGTAAAGTAGTTTACAGACCAGTAGAGCAGTCTGGTAACACCTGAGGTGAAAATCGTGTTTGAATTAAAACACTAAATCCAGTCTAACAGCTTCTGTTTGGATGTTTGCTTGTGAACATCTAAATGTGCTTCTGTGGATCCTCAGCTGGTCTTTGACACCTTCTTGTCCTCTTTCTACACATGAATGAATGTATTTCTTCTAGAATGTGTTCTGCCATCACAAGTGCTGAGCTGTAACTAACCCCCCCCCCCCCCCCCCCCCCCCCCCCC